TCATAGAATCATAGAGTTGGAAGAGACCACAAGGGCCATCGAGTCCAACCCCTGCCAAGCAGGAAACACCATCAGAGCACTCCTGACATATGGTTGTCAAGCCTCTGCTTAAAGACCTCCAAAGAAGGAGACTCCACCACACTCCTGGGCAGCAAATTCCACTGTCGAACAGCTCTTACTGTCAGGAAGTTCTTCCTAATGTTTAGGTGGAATCTTCTTTCTTGTAGTTTGGATCCATTGCTCCGTGTCCGCTTCTCTGGAGCAGCAGAAAACAACCTTTCTCCCTCCTCTATGTGACATCCTTTTATATATTTGAACATGGCTATCATATCACCCCTTAACCTCCTCTTCTCCAGGCTAAACATGCCCAGCTCCCTTAGCCGTTCCTCATAAGGCATCGTTTCCAGGCCTTTGACCATTTTGGTTGCCCTCCTCTGGACACGTTCCAGTTTGTCAGTGTCCTTCTTGAACTGTGGTGCCCAGAACTGGACACAGTACTCCAGGTGAGGTCTGACCAGAGCAGAATACAGTGGCACTATTACTTCCCTTGATCTAGATGCTATACTCCTATTGATGCAGCCCAGAATTGCATTGGCTTTTTTAGCTGCCGCGTCACACTGTTGGCTCATGTCAAGTTTGTGGTCAACCAAGACTCCTACATCCTTTTCACATGTACTGCTCTCAAGCCAGGTGTCCCCCATCTTGTATTTGTGCCTCTCATTTTTTTTGCCCCAGTGCAATACTTTACATTTCTCCCTGTTAAAATTCATCTTGTTTGTTTTGGCCCAATTCTCTAATCTGTCAAGGTCGTTTTGAAGTGTGATCCTGTCCTCTGGGGTGTTAGCCACCCCTCCCAGTTTGGTGTCATCTGCAAATTTGATCAGAATGCCCTTGAGTCCATCATCCAAGTCGTTGATAAAGATGTTGAATAAGACCGGGCCCAAGACAGAACCCTGTGGCACCCCACTAGTCACTCTTCTCCAGGATGAAGAGGAACCATTGATGAGCACCCTTTGGGTTCGGTCAGTCAGCCAGTTACAAATCCACTGAGTGGTAGCATAGTCAAGACCGCATTTTACCAGCTTCTTTACAAGAATATCATGGGGCACCTTGTCAAATGCCTTGCTGAAATCAAGGTAGGCTACATCCACTGCGTTCCCTTCATCTACCAGGCTTGTAATTCTGTCAAAAACGAGATCAGGTTAGTCTGACATGACTTATTTTTCAGAAATCCATGCTGACTATTGGTGATCACAGCATTCCTTTCTAGGTGCTCACAGACTGTTTGCTTAATGATCTGCTCCAGAATCTTCCCTGGTATTGATGTCAGACTGACTGGGCGGTAATTATTTGGGTCCTCTCTTTTCCCTTTTTGAAAATAGGGACAACATTTGCCCTCCTCCAGTCTGCCGGGACTTCGCCTGTTCTCCAGGAATTCTCAAAGATGACTGCCAGTGGTTCTGAGATCACATCTGCCAGTTCTTTTAATACTCTTGGATGCAGTTCATCTGGCCCTGGAGACTTGAATACATCTAAACTAGCCAAGTATTCTTGTACTATCTCCTTGGTTATTCTGAGCTGTGTTTCCAAATGCTCTCACTTTGGCTTTGAGGTTCTAAATCTTGGATCTCTTAAGACACAAGAACTTCCCACGCTGGAGGAATGGCAGATGAAACTTATGGACTATATGGAATTGGCGGAAATGACTGGTAGAATCCGTGACCAGGGAGAAGAGTTGATGGAGGAAGATTGGAAGAAATTCAAAGACTATCTTCAGAAACACTGCAAAATTAAGGAATGTTAGAGTGATGTTGGACTGAAAACAAGTGGTTTCCAGCTGTACAGGTTAAAGTTAATGATAGACTAAGATTAAAGATTAAGATTAAAGATGTTTAAAGAAACGGAAATTTGATATTAAGAGGGAAAATTTTAATGGTATATGATATTAAGACCAAGGATTAGGTTTAAAGAAGTTGAAGCTATATACTTTAATATTTTATCAAACTAAAGATTGGGATTAAAAAAGTGGAAAAGAAACTGCTGGACAAATAATTTGGATTGGAATACAAAAGAGGGAGGTACAGTGGTGCCCCGCAAGACGAATGCCTCGCAAGACGGAAAACTCGCTAGACGAAAGAGTTTTCCGTTTTGGAGGTGCCTCGCAAAACGAATCTGCTATGGGCTTGCTTCGCAAGACGAAAATGTCTTGCGAGTTCCTGGTTTTTTTTCCCCCTTTCCCCCCCTCTTTTTCTAAGTCGCTAAGCCGCTTATCTGCTTATCCGATAAGCTGATAAGCTGCTAAAAGCCGCTAAAAGCCGCTAAAAGCCGCTAAAAGCGCTAATAGCGCTAATCCGCTAATCCCGTCAATGGGCTTGCTTCGCAAGACGAAAAAACCGCTAGACGAAGAGACTCCCAGAACGGATTCTTTTCGTCTTGCGAGGCACCACTGTATGAGGAAGTCCAGAAAATAAGCAACTAAAAAACGGAAATGAAACAGAGATATTGTTTTTAATTGTTATGTTTTTTGTATTTTTATTGTTGAATTTTGTTTTTGTTTTCTTGTTTTTTGTGTTTTTGTTATATGTATTGTGTATGTTTTTCTTTTATTTCTTTGTTGTTTAAAACTTTAATAAAAATTATTTAAAAAAATAAATAAATAAATCTTGGATCTCTTCACAGGTATACACATCCCTGACATATAACGCCACTCCTCCTCCTTTCTTGTCTGGTCTGTTTCTCTGAAATAGATTGTATCCCTCCATTATTACATTCCAATCGTGGGACTTATCCCACCAGGTTTCAGTGATGCCTATTATGTCATATTTAGTTTGCTGTACCAAGAGCTCAAGCTCATCTTGTTTATTTCCCATGCTTTGCGCATTAGTGTACAGACATTGAAGTCCATTAATCATTCCCCCGTGTCTCTTATTTAAGGATTTTTCCTCCTACCACTAGGTCTGCGTGCTGTTTGCTCCATTTGGTCTATGACATTTGGATGATCATCTTCATCAATTGATAGACTCCTACCTTCAGGAGCACTGTCTCCCTCCCCCCACATTAGTCAGTTTAAAGCCCTCCTGATGAGGTTTCTGAGATTTGTGGCAAAAACATTTCTCCCAACCGTTGTGAGGTGCAGCCCATCGCTTGCCAGAAGTCCATCTTCAAGAAACTGCAGTCCGTGATCTAAGAATCCAAACCGTTCCTGTTTACACCATTTGCGAAGCCAGCTGTTCACTTCCACTATTTTCCCCTCTCTCCCTGGGCCACGTCGTTCAACTGGGAGGACAGATGAGATGACAATTTGTGCATTTAATTGCTTCAACTTCCTGCCCAGAGCCTCGTAGTCTCTTTTGATCTTCTGGAGGCTATTGCTTGCAGTGTCATTGGTTCCCACATGAACCAAGAGGAAGGGGTATTTGTCAGTGGGTTTTATGATTCCTTGCAGTCGTTCAGTTACGTCTTGGATCTTAGCCCCAGGGAGACAGCACACTTCCCGAGACATCTTGTCAGGCCCACAGATCACTGCTTCTGTTCCCTCAGTAGGGAATCCCCTATCACCACTACACGCCTCCTCTTAGGTTTGGTCGGGGTTCTTCCGTGAGCTGTCCGTTCCAAGGTCGCCTGCACATTCCCTGAGGACTGACTTTGCTGCTTGTCTTCATATACCTGATCGACTGTAATGAGGGAGAGATCCTCAAATGGAGTCTGCTCTTCATCTTACATGCTAGGGGAGAGGACCTCAAAGCGATTGTGTATTTCTAAACAATCAGAGCGAACCCTGGGCCTCCTACTTCTTTGAGTCACGTTTCTCCATATATCTGGCTCCTGTGTTGGTGAACTAGCCTCCTTCTCAGGGGAGTCCCCTGTCTCCTCCTTGGTGGAGACGTTGTGCTCTGTTGCTTCCAAAAAAAGCTCCAGCTCCCTAATTCTTTGGAGCGTAGCTACACGTTCCTCCAGTTGCTGGACTTTGTCTTTTAAGAGGGCAATCAACATGCAATTGCTGCAGGTAAAGCTGCCTGCAACCTTTGGCAAGATGGCAAACATTGCGCAGGAACCGCAGGCGACTGCAGCTGTTCCCTCCCCCTCCATCTTGAGAACGTGTCGTTGGGGGTGGCTACAGCGGTCCTCCATCATAAAAAGCGTGAAGACAGGACAAATAACTCCCCCCCCACAAAAAAAACAACAACCTAGGTCTCCCCCAACAAACGTTTGAGACTAGCTCCCCTAAATCTAAAAGATGGATCAAACTGCTACCCTGCCCCCTCTGACCTTTGCACAGGGAGAGCAGCCAATCAGCCACAAAGAAACACACACACAAGAAAACCCTTTTTGCTCCTTCTTCAACTGCTGCCCTGCAAGCTCTGATAAATCAGAACCAGTGAAGGCGGTGAAGGTCCTGTGTGAGTGTCTGGAGGCGGTTGGAGGATGGATGGCGGCTAACAGATTGAGGTTGAATCCTGACAAGACAGAAGTACTGTTTTGGGGGGACGGGGCGGGCAGGTGTAGGGGATTCCCTGGTCCTGAATGGGGTAACTGTGCCCCTGAAGGACCAAGTGCGCAGCCTGGGAGTCATTATGGACTCACAGCTGTCCATGGAAGGGCAGGTTAATTCTGTGTCCAGGGCAACTGTCTACCGGCTCCTTCTGGTACGCAGGATGAGACCCTACCTGCCCACAGACTGTCTCGCCAGAGTGGTGCATGCTGTAGTTATCTCCTGCTTGGATGACTGCAACGCACTCTATGTGGGGCTACCTTTGAAGGTGACCTGGAAAGTGCAATTAATCCAGAATGCGGCAGCTAGATTGATGACTGGGAGCGGCTGCCGGGACCACATAAAACCAGTTCTGAGACATCTGTATTGGCTCCCAGTACGTTTCCGAGCACAATTCAAAGTGTTGGTGCTGACCTTTAAAGCCCTAAATGGTCTCAGCCCAGTATACCTGAAGGAGCATCTCCACCCCTATTGTTCAGCCCGGACACTGAGATCCAGCGCCGAGGGCCTTCTGGCGGTTTCCTTGCTGTGAGAAGTGAGGTTACAGGGAACCAGGCAGAGGGCCTTGTCGGTAGTGGCACCCGCTCTGTGGAACGCCCTCCCTTCAGATGTGAAGAAAATAAGCAGCTATCCTATCTTTAAAAGACATCTGAAGGCAGCCCTGTTCAGGGAAGTTTTTAATATTTAATATAAAGCTGTACTGTTTTTAGCACTTGATTGGGAGCCGCCCAGAGTGGCTGGGGAATCTCAGCCAGATGGGCGGGGTATAAATAATATATTATTATTATTATTATTATTATTAAATCATGGCCTTTCTGGCCCGCCTTCTCCTCCCAGGGGCTCAAGGCGGGCTCCCTCCCCTTCCACTGCCATTCCCCCGCGCTGACCCAGCCAGGCAGGCCTGCCTGAGAAGCACCGACTGGCCCTCGGTCCCTCTCTCCCAGGCTGCTGGCGCAGGGCTCTAACCGCTAGGCCGCGCTGCTCCCCTTCCGCTCGCCAGGTGGTACCTGCGGTGGTGGTGACGCTGCTGACCCCATCCTGCTGCTTCCAAGGCGGGGCCTCCTCGGTGTGCAGGACGCTGCTGACCCCGAACTCGGCGTCGGGGCCTGGATGCTGGCGATGAGCCACTTGCCCCTCTCCAGGGCGCGGGGGCAGCCCCCTCCGCCCGCCAGCCCCTCCGCCCAGGCGACGTGGGACTCTTGCGGCGCGTAAGCGTTGATCTCGCAGGAGGATTCAGCCTCGCTGGCATCCGGACTCAGCCACGGCGGGGGGGTGGCCGAGGCCTGACCGCCCCACAGGGCCCCAGAGGGGTCTGCCGGGGGGACAAAGCGGGGGGAGGTGAACCAGTGTCTGGGGGGGGGGAATGATGAGCCTTGTCTCTCCACTGCCGGACCCCCCAACCTACATAGCAGGGGGTTGGAGTGGATGACCTTTGGGGTTCCCAACTCCACCGTTCTGGGTCAGCCAGTTCAGTTCAACTCGCAGAATCACAGAATTGGAAGGGACCCCCGAGGGTCATCTAGTCCAACCCCCTGCGATGCAGGAATCTCAGCGAGAACAAGATGCCCTCTAAGGAGGATTTGTTTTGTCTATTTAATGGAATTTAAACGCCAGTAAATAAACTAAAAGAATCAAGCAGTTTTGTACCTCTGAAAAGTGTAAATGCTGAGGTTGGAAAACAATTTGCAGAATAAGCATAAAGAGATTAAATTTCTTGAGTCAAAAGGAGAGTACTAGATTAAATTAATCCACAACAATAGGACTCCTGAGTTCTTAGATGACTTCTTTTGTCCATTTACTGTATTTATTTTTCCCAATTAGAACTATAAAATGGTGATTTTCTTGAGTTAAAATGAGAGTAACCCTGAACAATTTTTAGAAAAAAAGCACTGTACCTATATACCAGAGAAGCATGTATGAGGAAGATTGGAAGAAATTCAAAGATTATCTTCAGAAACATTGCAAAATTAAAGAATGTTAGAGTGATGTTGGACTGAAAATAAGTGGTTTCCAGCTGTACAGGTTAAAGTTAATGATAGACTAAGATTAAAGATTAGGATTAAAGATGTTTAAGGAAATGGAAATTTGGTAATTAAGAGGTAAAATTTCAAGGTTATATTACATTAAGATCAAAGATTAGGTTTAAAGAAGTTGAAGTTATACATTATATTATGTTGGGTTGAAATCACGACAGACGAGTGGCGGGTGTCAAAGGAG